CTCAGGTAACAGTCGTCGTATGCTCAGTCTCCCTCTTTGTTTCTCCTTCAGAGTGGTGACAGGTGTGTTGGTGGCATCTCTCACTGTTCTCCCTCTTACACTGTCACTCAGTTTGCAAGGACGTCTTTCTCTTGGTAGATTTACACATGTCCCATATTCCTTTCATTTCCTGGTGAAGGATTTAATAGAACTCCTGGTGATGATTAGAGTCTTGAAGAGTCTTTTTTCTCCAAGTTGAATTAGGACCGTCACTTTAAAAGGGGCAACTATTTGTGCAAACACCTATTTTACATAGCATATTTTTAATTACTGGTATGAATCTGTAGAAATTTGGTTTCACTTTGATGCTGAAAAGGGTTTTTTATTTGGGTAAATTTTTGACAAATTTATATTGACCATGACTAATTTGTAATAGAAATAAAAACAGACATCCAAGGGGGTGAATACTTTTTATAGCCAATGTGTAATCTAAAAATAAATTAAAAGACCAAGCATTTTGTTATTACATTGTGGTGGCCATCTTATGTCTTGCATGTTATAACAATCTCTCTTTAAATGCACCATTAGTCAAGCTTTTGGCTAATATCTAAAAACATAAGTAGTAACAGATTGTCTTGCAAGGACTATATATTCCTATATTTGTTTTAGACGGACCTCAGAGTTTGAGTTTCTGTGTTGAACCAGTGTAACACTGTGATCCTCTTCCCTCAGTGAGGTCTGTCCCTTGTTCCTCCCCACGCCTCGTCTCTGTGGCGACTGCTTGCAGCGCGTTTTACCCCACAGGACCCATCTCCCATAGCAATGAGAAAGGGATGCTCTTTAGGCCCAATTAGACATACCAGTAGTTTTGTTTTAAGGGACAAGAAAAGGACAAAGCACACAAATGCTTCGATCATAAAGGAAGTGCAGATGATGGTGACACAGCAGAGTAACGAGATAAATAACAGTGTTTTAAAGCACACATTTATATATTGCAATAAACAACTGCATTAAATTCATAACCTTAAAACTCTAAACTGTAACATTAAAATATGTCACCATACAAAACATTTAACATTTGATGACCACGTTTCAAGAATAAATGTCCAAATAAATAAAATAGATACACAATTAAGTTATTTGACAAAAATTTTCAAAAAGTACAGAAGAAGAAAGTTTTGAATTAGCAGCACAGAAAGCAAGAAATGAAATTTAAACTCATTGTAAATGTGTCTTCAGGACATTTGGACTGTTGTGACTCTGTGGTGACACCAACTGGTTCAAACATTGCATCACCATCATCTGACGTCATGTTGCTCATTATTCAGTCTTCATTTAATATTTTTGTTCAGTTAGAGTAGAAACCTATAAATATATTTAACACTACATCCTTCTGAGATCGAATGCACAAGATTTTAGAAAACCAAAAGTTCAACTCGAGCTTTTTAAAACATTTAATAAAGAATCTTGACTTGTTCAGCTTCAGTGTTTTCAGTGAAACAATAACTGAAAAGTTCTTACTGTTTTTAACATTACGTGTTTTTCACTTTTTAAAACTTAACCCATTTTCTTCATGACTAGAAAAGTCGAAATTTAAAAGGTTCTGTTTGATTCACGACAGCTTGTCTATTTTAGACATTTATGCCAAAAAGGGTATTTTATTACACAACTCATTTACATTTAAAAAAATGAACTTGTCTTACTCTGCTATAATTTTTTTGCAGCTTTGTGTTTGATTTAATTATTTAATTTCAAGAATTTTTAAAAACATGCAAGTATGCATTTTAATGGATTTTAATCATGCCTCTCTCTCTCTGCTACACTTCCGACATTCCAACGGTTTGTCAGCTGCTCTACCAGAGAAAACAAAACGCTGGACTTGTTTTATGCAAATGTCAAGGATTCATACATCGCTAAAGCAAGACCCCCTCTTGGCAAATCAGATCACAATCTTGTGTTTCTCTGCTCAAAATATAAACCCCTTGTTCAGAGGCAACCTGCAATAAAGAGAACAGTGAGAAAATGGTCAACGGAAGCTGAAGAAGCCCTGTGGGGTTGTTTTGACGCTACAGACTGGGATGCACTGTGCCAGCCACATGGAGAGTACATCAATGCTATGACTGAGTGTGTGACCGACTATATAAACTTCTGTGTAAACACCACCATCCCCACCAGAACAGTGAGATGCTTCCCCAATAACAAACCCTGGATCACCACAGACCTGAAGGAACTGCTAAACCAGAAAAAAAGAGCCTTCAGGGAGAGAGACAGGGAATTATTGAGGAGTACACAGAAGCAACTAAAAGTCAAGATAAGAAACAGCAAGGAGGTGTACAAGAAGAAGCTGGAGAGCAAACTCCAACAGAACAATATCAGAGAGGTGTGGTCAGGGATGAAACAGATCACATGCTTCAAGCAGAAGGAGGATCAGAAGGATGGAAGCCTGGACAGAGCCAATGAACTGAACACATTCTTCAATAGGTTCAGTTCAGGAACAAGCTCAACATCCTCCTCTCTTGCCCACAGCCAAACATACATACCACCCTCCATTGACCCAAGGCTGTCCTGTCACACCTCAAATACTGTATCTACCACCTCAGTCATGGACCCTTCTTCTACATGTTGGTCTTCAACCAAATCAGAAGATGCTGATACCTCCTTTGCCTCCCCCACTCTGCGTCTCCAGAAGTCAGGTGAGGAAGCAGCTGGAGAGACTGAACCGGAATAAGGCTGCAGGTCCAGATGGTGTCAGTCCCAGAGTCCTGAAGGTCTGTGCAGAGCAGCTCTGTGGGGTTCTGCAGCATCTCTTCAACCTTAGCCTGACCCAGGAGAAGGTTCCAGTGTTGTGGAAAACATCCTGTCTTGTTCCAGTGCGTGGACTTGGAGTTGAAGATGCCATCATACACCTGCTTCAACAAACTCACTGTCATCTAAGGCAGACAGCACTGTGAGAGTCATGTTCTTTGATTTCTCCAGAGCATTTAACACAATCCAGCCTGATTTGCTTTGTCAGAAACTCCAGAAGACTCAGGTGGAGGCCTCAACAATCGTCTGGATCAAAGACTACCTGACAAACAGACCACAGTTTGTGAGACTGAAGGGTTGTGTGTCTAACCAGGTGGTCATTAGCTCAGGAGCACCACAGGGGACTGTACTCTCACCATTCATTTTCACTCTGTACACCTCAGATGTCCAGTACAAAACAGACTCCAGTCATCTGCAGAAATATTCTGATGACTCTGCAGTAGTCGGGTGTATCAGAGATGGACAAGAAGCTGAGTACAGGGAACTGGTGGTCCGCTTTGTGGCATGGTGTGGAAACAATCATCTCATCTTGAATGTGAACAAAACAAAGGAGATGACTGTAGATTTCAGGAGAATCAGGAACAGATCCAACCCTATTTCCATCATGGGAGAAGAAGTGGAGGTGGTGGAGAAGTATAAATACCTTGGAGTTCACAACAGACTGGACTGGAAATGCAACAGTGAAGCCGTTTACAAGAAGGGACAGAGCAGACTGTACTTGTTGAGGAAGCTGAAGTCCTTCAGCGTTTGCAGCAAGATGCTGCATATCTTCTATAAGTCTGTTGTAGAGAGCACTATCTCTTCTGCCATCATCTGCTGGGGGAGCAGCACCAGAGCAAGTGACTTAAAAAAGATCAACAAGCCAATAAAGAAGGCTGGCTCAGTTCTGGGGACTCCTCTAGAACCTTTGGAGATGATTGTTTAAAGAAGGATTCTTCATAAATGAAGAATATTATAGACAACCCTCAGCATCCTCTTCATCAGACTGTCATACAACAACAAAGTGTCTTCAGTCAGAGGCTTCTTCAAATCCGTTGTAGGACAGACCGCTACAAGAGATCCTTCCTGCCCACAGCCATCAGCATCTATAACAACTCTTTAATGAAACCAGGATGATGAGTTACAACAACATTTAATTTCCCTCTGGGATTAATAAAGTGTTTTTGAATTGAATTGAATTGAATTTAATTTAATTTAATTGTATAACAAGGATGTTAAAACTTTTAAGTATAGCTGTTTAAGAATACAATTTCACTGATTTCTCTTCTATCAGTCAATTTGTTTGTATTTAAAACTATTTCTTTATGTAATCAAACCAAAATGTGTCAAGTTTTCTGCAAACATTTTTCTGAGATATCATTTTGTTTTTACTGAAATTCAAATAAAAGTATGTCATATTGTGTAAATTAGTATATTATTCATAGATTTAGCTAAAGATGATGATGATAATGATAATAATAATAATAATAAATAACCATAATCATAATCATAATAATACCTTAGATCCTTATGACAAGATGATCTAAACCTAAATCCTGCATTGTGCAAACCATCCTTGTTGTCATAGTTTAAAATCATAATATTATTGACTCGAGTCTGACTTGAGTCCAAGTCATTTGACTCGAGTCCACACCACTGGTGCAAAATAAGATTTAAAACGATATTTTTTGACGTTTTAATGTTTAGATTTGCGTTAAAACGAGACATCTTCTAGCGCTTTTGGTATCAAAAAATACCAAATGAACTTTGTGATCTACCTTTGAATCACACTGATTAAGATTCTCAGTCATCCAGGGCATGGCAAATCAAAAAAAAAAAGGTTGAAAACAAAACAACTGGACTTTATTTGCACTGAAGAAGTTTCGCTTCTCATTCTAGGATCTTTCTCATTTCAAAGAAACAAGGAGAGTGGGATTAAAGTTATAAAGCAGAGGTGTTCTGTAAACTTGCATAATGCAGATTGACACATGCAGATTAACCTCTCACTCTTCCCAATAGAGGATTGTTAGGGTCTTTGATAGTCAGACCCTAACGACCCTCTACTGTATAGATGGAGAGTTTGAAAATATTATAACTCAACATTGAACAAAATGGTCTCAAATAAGAACGAACGAGAAAAAATTGAGAGCGTAGAACGAGCCTGACAGACTGAATTCAGGGAATAATTTTGAAAAATATGCGTCCTACGTCATGACGCACCGTCAGCTGTTGACGGACGAAGGCTCTCAGGTTTCGACCTACGGCGGATCTGAATGCACTCTTCGAGTCTCTTCGCTGTCATTGCGGCCGCTCTGAAACTCACATGGTGTTCGGGGACCTCTCGGTAACGCAACATGAGTGCTTTGTGTCGCCTGCTTCGGAGAGGACTGCTGAGCGGTCGGCCATCATGCTGTTTCCCCCCCGGTCAGCTGGTTGTGTGTGGGGGCGCAGCTCTCCCGGTTCGGACTGCCAGCTCGTCCAGGTACCCTTGTAGCTTGTTGGCTAACAGGTGCACCTCCACCTGCCCGAGCTGTACAGTGCATTTGTTAATGGAAATGACAGCTCGGTGTTTTTATTGCCTAACCTCCATCATTTACCGCTGTGTTGTTTATCGTCAGCTTTAACAGATAAACGACATTGAGACCTCTGAAGAGCAAACATTTAATCCGAATCTGACCTCTGCTGCATTTCCAAAGTGAAGGTTATATCTAAAAACACGTCGTGTTTCATTTTATGCGACTAGAAATCTAAATAAAATCCTTATTTCTCAGTGAATTGCGAGTACTGCGTGTTAACCTACATGTAACGCCATGTTAGCATCTTAGCTACAATCACGCAGAATGTGAAGTATTTACAGAAGAATGAGGGAAAGATTAATTTCCAATGAGCTGCACTGTGTTCTTTGTTTTAGTTTTTATCACACGAAGAGGCAAAAGTTGTGCTAATCTTGTTTTGAATCCCGTTATCTATATTTGTAAAATGTTTGGCCTTTTCAGATGTGATCATTTGTCAGACCACAGTGGCGTTTTAAATTATGAACATTTAGTATTTATCTGTTTGCTGTTTTTATTGTTTTGTTCTGGGGCATCTAATAAAAGATGTAAACTAAGACGCATCACAAAGTTGAATATATTTATTATTCTGACATTTTTATGAATGACCAACCTGCTTTGTATGAACCTTATCAATAATTATACAAATGCACTGAGACTTTTAGATGTGTAATATTCCTCTCATTTACATTTTATAGACTGCATCAACATTTAAAAGAGACAAATAATACTGAGGTACAAGAGTAATGGAATAACCTAAAATCATAATGGATTTATTTGCACCTGAACTGGCTAATAATGTTTAAGCTAAAACATACAAAATTACTGATATATTATGTTTTATATGCAAATACATATTTGATTGTTATTAATAAGGGAAAGTGAGACTAGCATAATATGAAATATGTCCAAGTTGCACAATGAAACCCACACGAATATCTACAAAATTAGTATATAAAGTGTGCATATGTTTAATTAGAGCTAAATATAACCATTAACATATTTAATTCTTTGTTCATCATTAAAGATTAGACCTAATAAATTATTATATTTAAGAATAACTGTGCTCCACCAGCAGTTGGGAGCAAAGTCCTTTTCTCTGTAAAATCTTCAGTGTTGATTAATATTAAATTACATCTGCTTTTTGTGTATTGTATCGTCTTTTTGTAAGGCTTTTTGTCTCCATCGCTTAAAAAAAGACTTTCTGGAAATGTATTTTCTTTTCAAATTGTAGTTTTATGAATCAATGTGATTTTTTTTTTTTTTTTTGCAGTCCTGTCAACTTGACATATGACGTTTTCGATGGGAAAGGAGAGAGCACTCCCCTGGTGTTTCTACACGGCCTTTTTGGCAGTAAATCTAACTTCCACTCAATAGCCAAGTCCTTGGTGCAGCGCACAGGCCGAAAGGTAAAGCAGCGATGAAGACTTCACACCCGTCTGATGTTACACCTGCAACAATTCGTCTTTATGCGTTTAGATTTGTTCGCAGCAGTGTGACAGTAACTCCTACTAAAGCAGGCTGGGGATTGAATGTGTGGGCAGCATTTTTTATTTGCTTGTCATCTGATACAGCGTCTTAGCTGAGAGCGCTGCTGTAATGAGCTCTGATAGATAATATGTCAGAAACTCGCCACCTTGTTTTATAACACGGGTAATGGTCTGCACAGCACCGCCTCCTGATTTAAAAAAGAAAAAACAAAAAAGTTAATGAAAAGCTTAGTTTCTACTCTGTTGCCTCATGTTACCTATTCCAAGTTTCTTAACTGTCCTTTGTCCAGTCAGGTGTTGACTGTAGATGCCCGTAACCATGGCAACAGCCCTCACACCCCTGAGCTGACCTATGAGGCCATGTCCAGCGATTTGAAACACCTCCTCGGCCAGCTGCATATAGAGAAGTGCGTCCTCATCGGCCATAGCATGGGGGGTAAAACCGCCATGACAACCGCTCTGACACAGGTGAGCAGCTGCAAAAGGTCAGCTTGAATATTTTATGACGGCACACTTAAGTAGATGCATTTATGTCTTCATACACTACTGCCCTCTCAGAGCCCCAGAACCCTCCACTGATCTTCATACAAAACTAAGAATTAGATCAGGAAATGTCTTGGCACAAACACATTTTTGGGTATTGTGTTGTTTCAATCAGAGCATATGTGATTTAACAGTAATGACTTCATGTGCAGCGGCACGGTGGTGCAGTAGATAGAGCTGCCGTCTCTCAGCGAGAAGGTCGAGGGGCTATTCTGGATGGAGTTTGTATGTTCTCTCCGTGCATGCGTGGGTTTTCTCCAGATACTCCGATTTCCTCTCACAGACCAAAAACATGCATGTTAGGCTGATTGGTAACTCTAAATTGTCCCTAGGTGTGAGTGAGAGAGTGAATGGTTGTTTGTCTCTGTCTCTGTGTGGTGGACTTGTGACCAGTCCAGGGTGTCCCCTGCCTCTTGCTAGATATAAGCACCATTGAGCCCCATGACCCAGAAAGGAAGAAGCGGGTAAAGAAGATGGACGGACGGATTTCATGTGCTTTAGCTATGAAGCTAAAATGTTATGGCATGGGAGCTGCTGAGTCATTCCCAGTACACACTAAGAGCACTAACAAATCAGACAAGATTTGTGTTTAAAACTTTGGCATGCAAAGCTGTGGGCAATATGCATTACTTGAAGAAACGCAAGATTTTAATTTTATAATATATGTAGTCCTGTCGTGATGAACAATAAATCAATTAATTGCATGATAAATGAAAATTATCGACCTCATTTTCATTTATTAGCTTTATCGTTTCTTCGTGTCTTTCTCTTTCTGAAGACACTGGATGACAAAAAGCTCAACTCCGGTGCTCTTCACTGACCCCTCCCTTTCTCTTTTCTCTTTAAAATTCATTTTAATGATCCAAAATAGCGTTTTTGTATCGTTAAAAGCAGCTAAGTTGAGATGCTAATCTACGAGCTAAGCTAATAGGCCGACCTCAAGAAAAAACCTCCGTCTTGTCGAAGCTCCAAAACTCACGGTTGAAACCCGTGCCTTTGTGTAAAAAGTTGTTTTTCTCTGCAAAAAGAAGCTGAGAACTTGTTTACTGATTTTTTTATTAAAAGCTTTGTGTGAAAAATGCTATGCTAAAGAGCTCAAACCACACCGAGTGTCCGCCATTTTCAGAACTGAAGAGACAGCCCATATCACGTCAAGGGGCCTCCCTCCCATTTTTCTTAGAGACGCACTGCTCGCTCCCTCACTATTCATCCTTTGGTTCAAACGTCATGCTGCCATCCAGTGGTTGAACAAAGGTACTACACACAAAACAAATTAACAAACATTTCTTCATAAATTTGACAATTACTAATTATTGTCAAATTTCAAACAATATTATTGTTTATCGCAATGATTTCTGAGACAATTAATCGCCCAGCAAAATTTGTTTTGTGACAGGCCTAATGATATGATAGTTTTTATTTCACTGAGTTATTAGTTTATTAAGATAAATATTATATACGTAATAAGTAAACAAGTCACCTAGGGCCTCATGTACTACTGAAACATGGTGTATGCTTGAATCAAGAAAACGGCATATGCACAAATAAATCCAGCTGTATGAAGCCGTGCGGACGCATGAGTCCCAGCACACTTCCTTTGTACATCCTAATCAGCGTGGAATTGACATGACGCGAATGGTAGGATCACTCTGCCCACGCAGAATTGTAATCCAGGGTGAGCTAACCTCCGACAAACGAGACGGCTGTAATGGCGGGAGGTATTTATTGAGGCAGTTTTCGAGTTCAAGTTCTTTTATTGTCATTCGCCTCACATGTGGTACATGAGGTGGAATGAAATTGTGTACTCAAGTTCCTAGTTACAGTAGTTCCTCGTTTGTCATGGGGGATCTGTACCCTGAAGCCCCGCAATAAGTGAAAAACCACAAAGTAGGAATAGTAGTACAAATAGATAAAGTTTATTGTAGTATTAATAAATAAATAAATATATATTAAAAAAATATATATTTATATATATTATATAAAGGTGTTTTAAAACCTTCCCACACACTTGCAATATTCTAAACAATGTTTCTAAACACACTAAAAGAGCACAGAATGTCATGATTTCAGCTTCCTGCCATGGCTGCACTCTCGGCCACGCCCACTCCTCCGCTGCAGAACACAGGTCGACAGAGGATGGAGAAGCTTCTCCTGCAGTGTGGGCAGACATTGCAACATATATCTACATACAAAACACACAAAACAAGTCTAGACTCGGCTCAGGTCCACTGGTACAGTCCCAGTCGGTCTGCCAGCTCCCTCTGGAATGCCCCTCTTGCTAGGAACCCCAGTATGGTCTGCAGCTGTATGTGCACTGGCAGCACACGGCTCCTCGCTGTGTTGCACTCCAAGACCAGCTGCAGCTCCAAACACACTTCCAGAAGGATTGCCCTTAGAAGTTTAAAACGGCTGATGAACAAGTCATCAATGTTGGCCAGAAAATCCTCCGTCTCTAAATTCATTCAACCTTTATTTATACAGGTCAATCCCATTGAGCTCCAGGGACTCATTTACAAGAGAAACCTGATAACATACAATCCACACACTCTGCCTATTGTGCCATTTGCTATATCCTCTAATAAAGCTAAAGCATTGTTAAAGGTATTTTCTGCACCACTTTGTGCATGCTTTTATATCTAATCATGTCATTTCATACACGTGGATGTATTAATTGTTCATCATGGGTGTGTACAGTAGTTTTCACATCAATGGGCGGCTGCGGTTGAGTGATTAGAACATTCGTCCTTCAATGCGAGAGTTGGGGGTTCGATTGCCGAAGTGTCCCTGGGCAAGACACTGAACCCCTCCATTGTGTGTCCTATTGGTGTTTGAATGTGATCTAAAGCTCTGATTAGTCTCTTTAGAATGATTTGTTCCATTAGCTTTGTATAGTTATAGTAGAGTGCTGTGTGAATGGGTAAATGAGGCACAGATTGTTGTATAAAGTGCTTTGAGTATCTCGATAAGATGGAAAGGCACAATAAGTACAGTCCATTTACCATTTACCATCATTAACAGTTTCCAAATATCACCTCTAAGTGTCGCCAATGGACCAATAACCATAGAAACATGTATGGCAGCCATGAAGTTGGCGTGGGGCTGCGCACATTTCCACGGTCATTTCATTGACACATCTGAAGCTTTTCGTTAAAAAGGGCATACGCCACGTTTCTGTGCGCGTGCACCCTTTGTACATGAGGCCCCTGGCATGTTTACATCTAACCTTCTGACAATAAAACTTTAGACACCGACTAAATGTTAGGCAGGCATTGTCGTTGCAAAGGATTTTGACATTTTATGTGTTTGGTTTTTTTACGTTAATCTCTCTGTTTTCATTTGAAATCCCGAACATTAGAACTTTCGACATATTCAAGTTGTAATTCCCTTTTTCCACATTTTTGTTTCCCCAAATTTTAAAAGGTAAAACTGCATAGCTGAGTTTGAAGGTCCAAATCATTTTAAAATGTTAACTTGAATAGGTTTTTGTAAGCAGCTAAAGTAACCAAACTGGTGTGCATTTTCTATTTTCTTAAACATTTCCGCAGCATCATCTTTTTCTTTCATATTTCATGTTAAATCTGTCTTGTCTGTTTGTAGCCGAGTTTAGTGGAGGGCTTAGTGGTTGTGGACATCAGTCCTGCTCAGTCCACCACACGCACCAACTTCCGCTACTACATCCAGGCCATGCAGGAGATGAAGATCTCCACCGACATCCCTCGTTCCACTGCTAAGCGGATGGCTGAGGATCAGCTGCGCCCCCTGGTGAAGGTCAGGACCGCCCTTTGATTTAATGCAGTTTGTTTAATATGAAGTGTGGAGATGTTAACGCTGCTCCGCCCTACCGCAGGAGCACTCTGTGCGTCAGTTCCTGCTGACGAACCTGGTGGAGCAGAACGGCCACTACAGCTGGAGGGTCAACCTGGAGTCCATCGCAGCACACCTTGATGAAATCACGAGTTTCCCCCACTTTGACACCGTCTATAATGGGCCGACGCTGTTCTTGGGTGGAGCCAGCTCTGCTTATATTAGGTTAGAAACGCAACAACGCATTTATTGTTCTGTTGAAAAGCTAAGTGCGATACAGGTACATCAGCGTTAAGCATGTTTGCTTCATTTTATTTGCAACACTTAAACAGATTGGGTCGCCTTTCATCTATTGTACAATCATCACATGAGGGAGTGCATGAACATAATTATTTGCATAAAAGAACAAAGTAAAGGTTTTATTAAAGCTCAGATTTATCTTTTTAATTACATAATTAGTTCATTTTTTATTGTAATGATCAAAATTAGAGCTTTATAATGTTGGATATCACCCTAGTCTATTTTAATATGGCTCCTGCATCACGACCGAAAGATTTGTTTGCTAAATGAGTCGTTTGGTTTTTATATACAATACATCATTATGACAGCTGGAGACTACAGTAGCTCGGTGATCAGTGTGGGTCTTGTAATCCTGGGGTTGTGAGTTCAAGCCCAGGCTGCGTCAGAAAGTGCATCCGATGTAAAACACTTGTCAAATCTTTCATGCAGGTTTGTTCGCTGTGGCAACTCCTGAAGAAGGGAGCCACCTAAAGAAAACTAACATCGTCATGTCCGTTCTGACTGAGCAGTCCTAAAAACTCTTAGATGCCTTAAATCAATATACTGGTTTTTATTTTATTTATTTTTTACTAAATGTGGCTTCTCCTCCCAGCAGAGAGAGCAGAGCTTAAAAAAGAGCAAAGTGAACAGACGTCTGCACAAAGGTCCACCTCTAACACAGAAGCAGAACTACTTTTTAAAAGCGGCAATAAAAATGTGCTGTATTGCAGTAAATGGCATATTTTAATTTGTTAATTTAATATTTGTGAATATTTTTAAAAACATTTTGTCTTTCATCAGACATATTTATAAATTTAGTATAAACGATTCAATAAACATGGCAAATGATGGAGACAAAAAAGAAAGAAGTCTTTATTTGTGTGAATGTTTATGAAGCATTCACACTATTGTGATCCATGTTTCTTCCGAACGTTTTTTTGGCCCGTTTCTCGTCCCTCAGTTTTCAAATTATTTCAACAAATCGTATATCAAAATGTTCAGCTCTTTCAGGAGAAGGATGAAGAAGGGTGCTGTGACTTTTGGTATAGGTGCAACTTTAGCTTTTTGAAATATTTAGCCTTTTTGGTAATTTTTTTCTCATCGAAAATGAACTGAGCTCATTTTACATCCTTCAAATCTTTAGATCTGTTTACATTTCACTGCTCCTTTCACATTTTGTTCTGGTTCAGCTTATTTCAGCTTGTGCAAATTTAAACTTTTTTTAGCTACCGTACTTTCAGCTAATTTCAGCTGAGGTTTTTTTTTAGCTGTTTTGTGCTTCTTTCAGGTTTATTCTGCTAACTACAACATTTTTGTGCTTATTCCAACTTCTTGCTGCTAATTTCAGCTTGTTATGCTCCTTTCAGCTTATTTTTCCTAGTTTCAGCTTTTTCTGTGTTTTCAGCTACTTTTTAGCCGTTTTTGTGCTAATTTGAGCATTTTCTGCATATTCCACATTTTTTGTACTCAAACTTTTTTCAGCATAAAGCATCAAAAATTTGCACTCCACTTATGATAATTTAAGCTTCTTTCTGCTTTTTTTAGCTATCTTTCAGCCATTTTTTTTTTTTTACTAATTTCATGTTGGGGTTTTTTCAGATAATTTCTAATTTTTGTGCTCATTTCAGCTTCATTCAGCCTAAACATGTTCTTTCTACTTTCTTCTGCTATTTTAAGCTTGTTCTACATGGTCAGCTACCTTTTTAGCATTTTCTAGATAATTTCGTCTGTTTTTAGATAAATTAAGTTTTTCACAGTAATTTCTGCTACTTTCAGCCTAATTTTGCAAGTTTCAGCTTTTTCTGCTATTTCAGCAACTATTTAGCTGTTTTGTGCTAATTTGAGCTTTTTCAGCTAATTCCTCATTATTTAACTCATTTCAGCTCTTTCCGCTTCCTTCTGGTAGTTTAAGCTTCTTTCTACCTTTCAGCAACTTTTCAGCCATTTTTTGTTCATTTCAGCCTTTTTTTTAGCTACCGGTAATTTCTTAAGTTTTTTTTAGCCAATTTCTGCACATTTAAACCTAATTCAGCAAATGTGTTGTTTCAGCTTTCTTCTGCTAATTTAGGCCTGTTCAGCTACATTTGAGCATATTTTTTTTAGCTAATGTCAGCTGTTTCTCAGCAAGTTCTTCTTTAATAAGCATTCACACTGCATTTTTGCAGGAAATGCAACTTCTCTAGTTAGGATGTAAACCTTTAAGTTAACCTGTATAATTTTATAGTATGATGTAAATACCTGCAGTGTAAATACTCAAAGTACAAATATTAGTAAATCTGCTCCCTTTTTTGCGAAGTGTGAAGATAAAGGTTTACCTGCTTGATCACGGCTACATTTCAGATGTAGGCATTTTGTTTGGCCTGTTTTTATTCTCATACCTCTGTTGGTTTGTATCTGCTCCCGTTTCAGCTCTGACGATTACCCAGAAATCCAGAGGCTGTTCCCCAACGCCGACATCCAGTACATCCCCGACGCCAGCCACTGGATCCACGCAGACAAACCCTTAGATTTCATCAGCTCCATCATCTCCTTCCTTCAGTCTTAGCTGCCTCTAGCCTTCACCCCAAGACTTTCTAACTCTAAGCAGTGTCCCCTCGCTGAAACCGAAGGTGAGAATTCAGCAGCTTCAGCACAACAAGGGGAGAGCTGGGTTATAATCGATGCTAATATTTTCCAACACTGGACTAAATTCACCTCCACCTTTTAACATCAACTCTTAGTATTTACATTATTAGCTTTCATTTAATGTCTCTCTTTGACACATAGTAGTATTAGATTAGTCAGTTTCTAAATGTTTTTGGTTGGCTTTTTTTTTTTTTTTTTTCAAATAGACAGTAGCAAAATAAATATTTACAGTTTAACATATTGGGGCTGTTTTTGGAGGTGAGGTACTAATCCAAAGAAACTGTCATTTGCACTGTCCTGTCTTTATGGTCATACATTTAGGTCAGTTTCAAGGAAAAACGGCTCCAAGTCCAGTCTGGTGTTGGTCAAGTTGTGACAGCACTGCAGTGAAATCAATACTGTATCTAAGAAGCTTTTATTGTGGAAAAATTAAAGAGTATACAGTGAAAGCTGAGTGTGAAGGTCTGCGCAGAGAATGTGTTCCAGCACTGTAGGTTTGACATAGAAAAAACATTTGAGATGACGATAGTAGCTTGTTCAGTATTATTATTTTTATTTCCCTGTGTGTCAGGCATGAAGTTTTACTGGTTATATTTTTATGCCAACCAAGCTGAAACTCTCCAGTGCAGTATTAACATGAACTGTGTCGTGAATACCCCAGGTTACGTTTGATAAATAATACCTTCTCCCAATATTAATTTGTGTGTGGCAACAAGCCGTGATGATGATGATGTTGTGTCTTTGTACTTAGTCCTTTCAGTGTTTGTTAAAACATTTTATCAATTTAACCTCTGTATCTCACTAATCTTTTCAAATAAGGCACAAGGCTGTAAGCTGAATCACAAATATATGCTGCCACTATTAAGAACGTATGTAAATGTAATCGTGTTATCATTTCAGTCGCCATGATGGTTGAAAGTTTGGTCCAATAGTGAAACTGCCAATTGTATAAAAAAAAAAACAAGCAGGGTGTCGTTCATTTGTACGTGCCTCTTTTATCGAGGCCTCCTCCTCCATTTCTAACTTTACGTAACGGCTTTTATTCAACAATATTGCTCAGTAACTTTAGATTGGCAGCTGGGTTGCCAGTTCTGCGTGAGGCACTAAATGTTTGCTACAGTCATTGTTTTATGTTTGATGTGAATAGAGGTTTAAGAATCAGTTGAGCGATGCTTTATTTTCATTGAGGCTCCAGTTAGTGGAGAGCCACCCCTCCACCCTCCTCACAGGGCTCCCCTGTCCTGGGGTACATTACTGTATGTATAGTGGCGGTTATTGGTGACACTTGAACGCAGGTCTTCAGCTCCTGAAGAGTTGCAGCAAAACTCTTGACCAATAAAGAGTTTGTTTTTCTGACTGTAAGCATCTGATCAGGATTGTATCCTCTCACATGGTGAGCATGCCTTTCTCTTTATCAGCTGTTAACTTGCTGTGATTTGTTCGTCCACCATGCGGCCACAGTGATGGCTCTTAGTCTACAAATTGAATATATATAAATTGTAAATGTTCGCAATATGCATAAAGAAGTGGATTATATATTGTTGGAAATATACAATAAAATGGCTAAAATATGTGAAAACGCTGAATGTGTTTTCTGGCAAAATGTTACGAAATGCTCTGAAGTGATTTGTTTAAACGTGTTTTGACAGAATTTACATTTATTTACATTTTACAACAGTCAACATGTGGCCGTAATGCATTTCAATGTTACACAACTTAATATTTACATGGCTCGTTCATCCTAAATTATGTTTTCTTGCACAAAGGTCTTCATATCCTAGATTTAAAGCATGCTTCTTGACAAAATCTTCATAATGTTACGTAAATGTATTAAATACTGTTATTTTTACTGACGTTCAGTTACTTCATTCAAATTGCTTAAAGTAGCAGTGGTGCGTCCAAACCCCCAGTGTACAGTAGAACACAAGTCCCCTGGATAAATAATACATTGATTCTGTTTGTGGGCTGAATCTTGTCCATTCATAACTATCCACCCAAGAGTCCACAATAATGAGCAGGAGTGGCATTTTGTGAGATGTGCATCAGGATGTCTCCTCAGTGTAAACGGATCACGGTTTCAATCGAGAGACACGACCTGGAAGCCGTCGTTGCCGTACTCCGACTCCTGCTCAGCTCCGTCCTGGTCCAGGATGCGACTGCTCTTGCCCTTCTTCAGTTTTAGCTTCCAGGTACCTTTGCTGCTGGTAGGAGAAGCAGCGCTCAGCTGTGAAGGAGACGGCAACGTCCCGTATCCCGTCACGTAGATCTGGTTGGAGTTGGTTACAGGAGGGGTGGGTAAAGGCAGAGGGAAGTTGGCTGGACGTTGGATGGGTGGTTTGTTGTTTCTCCTCAGGAAGCCCATGCGAGAAGACTTCTTCTGGGCCTGCTCGGCCTGCTGCTGAGTCTGCAGCTGCTGCTGGAGGAGCTGCTGGAAGTCTTCCTAAAAATGTAAAAATAACAATTAAAGGCTTAGCATGGTTTGAATGAATATATCCCCTGATGCCTTACACACCTTAGTTTGTGTTGGAGATGACCCTCAGCTACTACCACACTGAATGCTAGCTTAGTTTTTGTAAAGCGGACAAAGTTGTGGTCATTTTCATGTTTGCTGAGGTTTATTAGCTGGGTTGTCCTCGTGAATCAGGTGGATTCAAAAAGTTGTATCCAATAAATGCCTTTGGAGAGTTTCATCAGAGTTCATCCAGCGGTTTACGAGATATTTTGCTAACAAACAAACGAGGACAATTAAGATGAGCGATAATTCTGTTTCATCAGACAGTAGGTAATAAACAGAAAATATGAGTAATTAGATGAAACAAGTGACGATTAATCAGATTTAAGATGAATGAGTTTATTTTTCTTTTTTTTTTTAAACCTTTTTCTACTAGTAAGTTGTTTTTTTTAGTTGACAAAAGTTATCTTTTATGATGCATAAAGTATTGGTAAGCATAAAGTTTGACATTACAGTCAACTTACTAACAGTCTGTGATATTTATGAATCATAATTCAGTTTTTTTTAAAACACCTGTATTCACTGACGTTTCACACAGTGTGATCTGATTTATTATCCCATTGTTCCTCATTGTGTTTTTATGTTTTCATTTTTAATGATTTTAATTACATCTTATTTGTTACTGGATGTGATTTTATTGTTAAAGCACTTTGGTAACAGCTGCTGTTTTAAATGTGCTTTATAAATAAATTTGACTTGACTTAGTGAATCATCGTGTCTGTATCAAGATTCACTGCTGATTTAACAGGGAGTCTAAATTTTAATGTCCAGATACAAGTGTCCAACAAGGTTAATGTTATAAAACTATTTCTAAAAACAATAAAAAATATATAAATTTATCTTCGACACCCGCTTCTTCCTGCTCAGGGTCACAAGGAGGTGGTGTATATGCTTGGAGACGCCCATCTGTCATGTCAGAGTCTTGCACTAAAGTATGTTGTGTGATGGTGTTGTATCCGTTTTAGTCGCAGCTTAAAATTACGACATGTGCATCATACGATACTGTACGTTCCAAACAAAGGTTAAAAAGCTGAAGACGTTTTGTTTTCCATCCAGGAAACTTGGATCAATTCAACAATGTCTGGAGTGTGTGGACTTCAAAGCTTTTATAGAATGAATACATCCTCAAGGATGGGAGGCGACACGTCTTCAGCTTCAGAACAGAAGTCCAGTTGTTTTTGTTTTTAGCCTTTTATTTATTCATTCATTCATTCATTCATTCATTCATTCAATTAAAAGAAAAAGAAACATGATCATGACCTGGATGACTGACAGTCTTCCCCACAATACTGTAAGTTGTCACACTCGTATAATTCTCAGCTACTATCACATAACATCTTGTCTCAACATTTATGTGACTGAGGTAGAGCTGTTTTTGAGTAGACCGCTGTCGATTAGCTTAGGCCGACATTTTCATTTGGACTGACTCTTAAACTAAACCAGCTGAGAGCTTCATCTGTCCAGTGGGTCGTGAGAAATTTGTCACGGAGACGCATATAAACAAACAAACATGGCTGTCTGCCTTCTCCATTTGGTGGTGAGCAACTAAAAATGTGCCAGCTTTACTCCGTGTGTTTTGTCTACCAGGGTGCACGGAGCCGAATGTAAACCGAAGCAAAAACATTTATACCCAGAGGCAGGACACGAACGCCTGCATTCACTGCATGTCATTAAATTAATGTAGGCTCGTTTTAAAGGTGTGTCTTTGATGTCTGAACACATTCTGTGTCACAACTTGTTTTATAAAATAACTCTGCCTCTTCACACTCTTCTGGCTGAGTTCCACACGATTCACTGAGAAGGACACCCTGGTTTGAAATCGGCTTTAGGTGTGTGTGTATTTGTTTGGAGAGCACACCCTCGGTCTCTGTTAAACATTAAACCTGTCTTCGGCTTACCTTCCAGGACTCGAGCTCCAGAGAAAGCTCAAGACGTTTCTGCGCAGCTTCCAGCAGCTGGTTGTTCAGCATCATCATCTCAGTCTTGCTGCGTAGGACCTCGTCCTCCATCGCCTTCTTCCTGCGCAGCAAAATCAGAAACAGCTAGAGAAATTGCATTTCCAGCGAAAATGCATTGTGAATGCTTATTGCTGAAAATTAGCTGAAATTAGCTAAAACATGCTGAAATGTTGCTGAAATGGAAGAACAAGCCCAAGTTAGCAGAAGAAAGCAGAAAACATGCTTGCCTAAATAGGATTAAAGAAACAGAAATAAGCACAAAAAAGTGGAAATTATCTGAAAAAAGCAAAAAAATTGCAACAAAAAAACTGCTAAAAAGTAGCTAAAAAGGCAGAAAGAAGCTTCAATTATCAGAAGTGAAGATAGCACTTATTTATTTTTGCTGAATTAGGCTGAAAAAAGTTGAAAGGAAGGCAAAATGTGGAATTAGCTGAAAAAGCTAAAATTAGCATAAAACAGCTAAATAGTAGCTGAAATAACTTAAATTAGCAAGAATAAGCTAAAAGAGCATAATAAGCTGAAATTAGGATAATCAATCAACCTTTATTTATACAGGTAAATCCCATTGAGCCTCGAGGACTCATTTACAAGAGAGACCTGATTTCAACAAAGAAAGAAAGAAATAAAGAAGTTAATTAGGCTGAAAGTAGCAGAAATTACAACAAAAAAACTTGAATTTATCAGAAAACAGCTGAAATTAGCTAAAAAATGCTAAAATGGTAGATGAAAATGTAGAACAAGTTTACATTTTCAGATGAAAGCAGAAAGAAAACATTTGCCCGATTAGGCCTAAATAAGCACAAAAAAGTGGGAAAATATGAAAAAAAACTGGAAAAAAGAACTGCTGAAGTGACTAAAATAGACATAAAAAGCTTAAATTACTAGAAGGAAGTGGAAAGAGCATACGTTTGCTGTATTTGGCTGAAAAAATTGAAATGAGTGCAAAAATGTGGAATTAGCCAAAAAAAACTAAAATTAGCATAAAACAGCTAAAAAATTGCTGAAATAGCAGAAAAAGATGAAACTTGTATAAATAAGCTGAAATGAGCATAATAAGCTGAAATTAGCAGAAAGAAGATTGAAGAAGCACAACAATGTTGTAATTAGCAGAAATAATCTAAAAGGATCACAAAACAGCTGAAAAAACTGCTGAAAGTAGCTGAAATTGAGTTTACATTTGCACAAGGAAGCTGAAAGAAGCTGAACCAGAACAAAATGTGAAAGGAGCAGTAAAAGGTAGACACAGATCTAAAGATTTGAAGGAGGTAAAATGAGCTCAATTCATTTTCTTTGAGAAAAACTGGCAGAAAAGGCTAAATATTTCAAAAAGCTAAATTTGCATCAATTCCAAAAGTCATAGCAGGATTTTCCTGAAAGAGCTGAACGTTTTGATACATGATTTGTTGAAATAGCACAAAAATTGTGGAACGAGACAGATGCTGAAAATGTACGGGAAAAAAAATGTATCACAATAGTGTGAATGCTTCATAAGCGTTCACACAATGAATCATTCCTCGAAAATAGATATGAGACTTTCAGCTTCCTCCTTTCCCCCCTCCAATAAATCTTGATTTAAGAGGTTTGCTTTAGAAACGTGATGTTGGTGCATCAGCATGTGAACTCACTTCTCTATGGCTTCGTCTCTGTCCCTCAGCGCCTGCTCCAGGATAGCACTGTCCTCTGCGCCATTTTTACCAGATATGGAGTCCTGAAAAAACAAACAAGCAGCAGCAGTTAGACAAAACCGAGTCACTTATTTCTATTCACCTACTTTCACTCTCTTATCGGTCTGTATTCAAATTAGGTGCCTCTGGTTAACCGATTCACAGCAGAAACAAACACCAATACTTTCACCTGGAAACTCGTATAACCAGATAGCTGACCCCCCCCCCACAGTAAAAACATTAATTCATTGTCCAAGGGAACAATGCTTCATCAGGAAGTCTTGCCACAGAAACATTCACATCTGCAATCCAATCTTTGGCAGGAATTTTAAACCTTCAGCTGTGTTGACATGATGGAAACTGGTGCCTTGTTAAAATACATCTATAGTCCTTCATCTTTAATATGTGAAAACAGCTTCAGTCATTTGAAACATTGCTTAATACGATCAGGTTCTCTGTCAAGGACCATGTACTGATAATTACAGCAGTGTCCAAATATAAGATATCTGTTTGTTCCCTAACATTTACAGTACAAGTGCGGATGTGTAACTGTAAATCCAACAAAGTTCAGTCAGATCACCTGGATGGTTTCTTTTGTTTTTGTTGAGACGTTTCGTCCTTCATCCAAAGGACTTCATCAGTCCGAGGAGCCACAACAAACTCAGTCCCACAAGCAGCACACTCATATAGTGGACCAAGCAGTTTGATGGTGATAAAATAGTTTCTGGGGCCCGCCCTCTCCCCCATCGACTGCTCTGAGGCAGCCAAAGTGGTTCAAAACATCAGAGTTCATGCTCAATAATCCAGGTAAAAAAAAAAATCCAACAAAGTTAAGTCAGGTCATCTGGATGGTTTATTTTGTGTTTTTTTTCACACGTTTCGTCCTTCATCCAAAGGACTTCATCAGTCCAAGGAGCCACAAGTAACTGTAACTCTTCATCCAAAGGACTTCATCAGTCCAAGGAGCCACAAGTAACTGTAACT